CACGCGCCGCGACGCTCTGCTCCCCGCGCTAGTTGATCGGCGGCGGCGGTTGTGCGCGGAACCGGCCAAAACTGTAGGCTACGAGACATTGGGAGGACGACAACATGTGACGAACGTAGGTTGGAAGGGGATGGAAGAAAGGGAGGGATATTAGAAAAGAGAGAAAGAGGGGGTGCAGAGGGAGAATTGTTGAGAAAGGAGAAGAGCTAATGAGAGTGAGGGATAGTGGAAAATGGAGGAGTGTGGATTATTTGAAAAGAGAGGGATGAGAGAGAGAGAGAGAGAAAGGGAGAGCAAGACTTTTAGTAAAAAAAAAAACGAAAGCGACGAGAAACTAATGAGAGTGGAGTGATAATGAAAAAGAGGGAAGAAGGATGAGAGCTACTAAAAAAGAAGGGGAATATTGAGAGATATTGAGAAAGAAGGAAAGAGAGGATGGAATAAAGAGGGCGATGGAAAAAGTTAAAGAGAATAGAAAAAAATATTAAAAATGAGAGCGAGCGAAAGAAAATGAAAGGGGTGCTGAACCCTGAAAAGATACGAAGCAATGGAATAGCGGAAAGAGTGAGAGAATTCAAGGTAATTGAAAAAAGAGAAGTAGAGCGATGAAAAAGACTAGAGAAAGTGATGAACATCGAAAAAAAAAAAAAAAGAACTCAACGATGGAGACCGATAGAGAAAGTGGAGAACATCGCTAAATACTCTACGACCTCGATATTTTCTCTCCAATTATACATACTCGACAAGAACCAATTAGAAAATAATACAGAGAATAAAGAATAAAATAATAACACCGAAATATTAAATTTAACGAAAAATTTAATCTCGATTCACTAACCAACTCAAACAAAAAAAAAGAGAGATAAAAGGAAAGAAAAAGGTTAGATAAACGTAGAAAGGGTAAGATTAAAAGGTTCCCACAATCTTGTCTCCTTATCAAATTCGATTCCCTCTCTTCCCCCTTTCTCTCTCTCTCTCTCTCTCGGTGTTCTTCTCTCGCTCAAATACGCACCCTCTCCCTTGACCCCTCTCTGCTGCCGAGTTTCGCCGCCCCATCTCATCGCCAAGCCACCCCAACCCGGAATAAATCAATACACGTGTCTGCTACTTGCTCGTACATTCGGCTGGGGCCTTAAACCGAATCGTCGTCGCGAGGAGGAGTTGACAGCTCGCGAGGAGGAAAATAATTCGAAGGCCTATGATTTCACACTATTCATACAGATGGTTGAGGATTTAATTAAGCCTGCGGAGAGGATAGGGGGAGGGAGAAATGACGTTTCTGACCACGTTGCCAGAAAATAGAGGATGAAAATAGAAACTGGATTTCTAATTAAGCGTTTGATTTTGCATCTTTTCGAAATAGAGAAATATTAATAATTGTCTAATCCTCCACTGATATTGTTAAATAATAACTAATTGTTACATAAGTTTAGATTTTGATTTTATATTGTATTTATATTTTATTTATATTGTAGATGTATAATATAAAAAAATAATGAAAGGATTGTAGGGAGGATTTGAGAATTATTTAATAATAACTTAGTTTCGTATCGAATAAAGAAACAATTTAAATAATTTTGTGATTACAATTCAAAAAAATAATTTTGACGTTCATTACAATGATTATATTTTATGATTAATAAAAATTGTTGTGACTCACCTAATTGACGACAAATGTCGGCCTTCAGGTGCGAAGGCAGAGTTTTTTCCTTGAGCAATGCCTCGTAATGTTCTTTAGCAAGACGATATTTCCCTTGGACTTCGTATAAATGAGCTATGTGAAATTTTACTGAAACACAAAGAGAAACAATATTTTAATATAACATTAATAATTATAAAGTATATGAAATTATAAAATATACGTAAAAAAAGAAACAAATTTAAATTAATGGCAAAATATTTTAAATAATACGAATATATGTATATATATATATATGTGTGTAATAATGTAACATTAAAATATTTTATATTAATTACATTGATTGATTAATAATTAATTAATTTTATGGCTGTATTTATCAATTCTATGATAACCTATTTGGATTTAGAACGTTATTGTACAAATTTGAATATGCGAAACAATAAACGTAATATTACAAAAAGATCGTATTATTAATTATGTACTATAATTATAATAGATAATGCATACTGAATAAACAACGATAATTACAACGTTACGTTTCTATTATAATTTTAATTAAAAAATAATAATAATAATAATAAAATTTAAATTCAATTTGTAATGTCTTAAGAATATAAAATATAATTAATTAAAATAATTTTCTATATATTTATAATACAACCATAAAATTGTGAATAATAATAATATTTTAAAATATCAATTTTCGATTATTACTTGATCAGTTGCAAACTCTAGACTATTTCGATGTCTCGATGGACAGAGGTTTTATTAAGTCCAGTTATTTTATAAGCGAAAACTTCCGGATGATGAAGACCACCAGGATCAATTTCTCGGTAAGCAAAAGCGATTCTAGTACGATTAAATGATGAGAATTACTTTAAACTATGAGTCAATTGGTGATTCTTCGTACGATTACGAAAAATTATTATAAATAGTTAAATTTATGAAATGCATAATATTTTGCAAAACGATATCGGCTCTTCATTTATATTTATCTATTATAACGTACAACATGTATTTCCATTGAACTGATTAGATACATTTTTAAATATGTATATTCACGTAATAAATTTTTTTAACAATAACTTTAATAATAGTTTCAATTCAATTTATTCGATTCACCTTCTATTCGCATATTTCCTTGAATTATCTATTCCGTTCTTGAGAAAGGGACATTCACTTTCTTCTTCGAACTTGACCTCCTTTTCACAGTATAATTAAGCAGTATAAAAAGTATATCACCTCATAGAATATCTCTCCTTTTTTCCCCTATTGATCATTGGAATCAAAGTTCATCGAACCACTTGTAATTATTTCACCAATAATGAATTCTTCTATTAAAACTACATTCATAAGAAAAAGAAGGAAAAGAATGAAATAAAAGATACGATATAAAAGATTGATAAAAGCTCTTTTTCATTTAAAAAAGATAAAAAATGAAGATATTTCAGATATTATTGGATATGGAAAAAAATTGTTAAACGAGAGTAGAGATTGGTTATTATATTGCTCTCTCTCTTTCTGTTGATTTAAAAAAGTATTTGAATAAGCTTATAAAAATAATAAAAAAAATGTTATTCTATTTTTTATATTCCAATATCTGTTCTCATCTTTCATTTTAAATTTTCATCAAAATTTATAGATATATTATTAATTTCAAAAAAAACCAACGTATTAAAAATAATGACAAAAAAATTTCAAAAACTTTGTATAGAAAAAAATTTATATGTTAATTGTTTTGAAAAATTTCTCGTATCTTAAATTATTTTATTATTTCTTATTGAAATATGACATTCATAAATAATTCATGGAAATTTGAATATTTATGAGTATATTTTTATCCTCATGAACTAAATTTAAACAGAACAAGTAGTGTTCTAGATGATTCATTCCTGATTCTAGGTAATCTAACGTGACGAGGATAAACTTATGCTACGAGATGAAATTCCGCTAAGAGCGACCAAAATTCCCTAGTTAGTTAAGATTCTATTCCATTTCTACTTACTCGACAGATTCTTACGTGTAATCCATTTCTATGTTTTTCATATATTCCATATATTTATGAACTCGAAATTTATTTTTAGTTATATTTTAGAAAAAAATTCAAAGACAAAAAAATCTTTCCGTAAAAATAAAAATAAATTAAAAACTATCTCTTCCAAATCTATATTGTTGGTAAATGATAATTTTGTAATAAAATAGAAATTTATTCCATATAATAACATTTCCAATCCCGAAAAATTATTCTAATAAATGCATAAAAAAATTTAACAAAATCTAACACGTAATTATTCCTTTAGAAAAATTACATAATGAAAATTACGTAATCGCTCGTATAGAAGGGAAGAGAACATAAATTCAGGGACCCTAGAATTCACGAAGCAACATATGCGGTAGTTAAATGTGGGAGTCGAGTTCAAGGAAAGTCGTTAAGGCGTTTAATGCACCCTTAAATATCGTCCACCGCGTGATACGTGTTATCGTAGGTCACACGTGACACAAGAATTGCTGTATCACGTTAGAAAAGGGGGTCAAGTTCGAGGCGGAAAGCGAGCAAAAGGCTCTGGGGTCGAGATGTTGTCAAGACGTGGCGCGCAGGTATGTAATAGGCGCTTTTCACGCGGCGGAAGTATCGATTTCATCGTGGCTTCGCTAAATAATATATTAAAACCGCGCACGCAAAACCGAGGGAGATTATTTTACCCTCTTATTCCTTTTCTATTGAATTTCCTTCTTTTTTTTTTACAGTTGTAGATGAACACTTGCATATTCGATGGATTTATCATTTAAAGTTTTAATTTTAAATAAAGGAGAGGAATTAAATACGTCCGTGTTTCAGTGACATATTAAAGAAAAATTCCAAATTTAAGAAGCGAAAAGCAAAATAAATTAAAAAATAAAAAACTTGAATCTTCTAATTTTCTAAAAAGAATCAACCATCAATTTTGCAAAAATAACTAGACACGAATGTCTTAGAGGATCCTCTTAAGAGGATCGTGTATCAAAACAAGAAAAAAAAAAAAAAAAAGAAAGAAAAATTTGCATACGAGAAAGCAACATGTGGTATAGGAATAAGATTTCAAGAGTAAAAAGCACGGTTTACGGTGAACAGCTGTTCACGTGCATTATGTTTTCGAAGGTGGAACACGCGTAGGCGAGATCGTAAGGAACGAAAACCGAGAACTCACTTTCAAGCTTGGAAAAAGAGGCAGGTGTCGTGGCATCGATCAAAGCGAGTGTCAGGTGCTTCAAGGCGGCATCAAAGTCAGCGTGGACCTTCAGCATCAAGCCGAGCCGTAGGTGAACCTCGCAGGCTCGTGGAAATCCTGGTTCCACCCATAGCACCTGCTGGAATGCTTTCACGGCCCTGCAATCAGAATTAGTTTTTATTAGATTTTTATTCGCACGTTTGTTAATTGTTTAATAAAATTTCAGAAATAACTGCAATTATTATTTCTTGCTTCGATTTTTTTTTTTTTTATATTCAGTTCTATTTTATTTCAATTTTTATCTCAATTTTCCAATATATTCACTTCAATAAAATTTCGCTTTTATGTATTTATTTTTATTTCATCTCAATTTTACTTCAATTCCTTATTAAAATTCCTATCGGATTGACTTCAATTCTGCAGAATTGGAGGATTATTAATAATCTTGGACGTCATTTCATTAATCATTTCCATTACACGGTACTTCAATTTATATCACCACTATATATTTCTTTCATCGATTTTTCCTTAGCTATACTCCATATACTCCAATTGAAAAATGTATCTATAATATTTCACTTTAAGTTGCATCGCCACTTTAATTTATAACTCCACGTTTTCCACCATTCCACTTCCACTTTCATAATAACTATTATGCAAAAAAAAAAATATACTTTTGAAATCTCTTTTGAAAAGAGAGGTCGATCGTTCTGTTGGAGAATCTAGTGGAAGATTATTATCGAAATTTATGCTTCGTAAAAAATTCAGGGTTAAGAAATAGATTCACGCGAGGAACGTCTAATCGCGTGCATCGAGTGCGTGCACGAGGATAGTGGACCGGAAGTGGTTAGTGTTCTGCCTCGTCACGCGACAACTCCGAGTTCGGGAGAACAAAACCATAGGGGCAACTGGTGAACGGGCAACAATAACCATTGCGCAGTTGCAAATGACACGGTACGTGTTTGCAGGTAAACGAAGTCGATCTAATTCGATGACACGGAAGAAAAAACCGGAAATCGTTGTCCCCTGCTGACGACCATGCGTCGACGAGTCTAGAAAATTAATATTCTCAGTTATGGGATTTTTCGTCAAAATTTTGCCAAGTATAAAAGTTAGAAAATCGTATTGACCCTTTCCAATACTCTCAAAAAAAGTCACGACAAAATATCAGATGCAGATACAACTCTTATTGAATTATAAAATCAATTGCGTTTAATAGAAACACGTAGAATCATCTCTATGGTAAATTCGTACAAGTATTTGGAAACTTGTGAAATTTCAAGTGAAATTCATCCCAAAAAAAAGAAATATATCCTTTTTTCTAAGAAATCTAAGAAATCTAATTTAAAACCCGACGAAATATTTTTCCTTTGATCAAAACATTTGAATCTAAAATTAACAAATGAATCTGTGCAATTACCAACGCAAGTGTTTCTCATCAGAGAAGAATGAATCATCGGCTTTAACGAATCAAGCGAGGAGAGCGAATTCCAAGTACGGTTATGTCGGGTGTCATTTTATTTCGGCTTTTGGAACCCGCTGGATCCGAGCCAACGTTAAATCAACGCACACAGATTGAGCATTACACTGGGGATAGGCTGGTTTGAAGTTCGTTGCTCGGCTTCGTCCGAGATGGAGTGTACGTATATTGGATGTGTTAGCGGACCGCATTTTCGAATGGATTTTCGTCGCACTTTTCCGAAACCGCCACGGGAAACCAATGGAGTAACAGGTTGCGGTAATGTTTCGTAACCTCGTTGCAAAAAGCATTTGGAAAACGTTCTCGTCCGATTCGAATTGAAATTGGTTTATTGTTTCTTCTATATTTTCCAGGATTGGAGTAGAATTTTCTGAAGATTACATGGAATCAAATAATAAAATTAATTAAAATACAAATATTAATTATCAAATAAAATTAAAATTCGTATCTTTTTCATTTCATATTCCTTCCTAGAACGTAATTCCAACTTTTTCGAAACAAGTAAAACTTCCCATTCTGCTAGGAACCAACTTAAATTTAACCGTCCACTCAATCGCTTCTAAGATCCTAATCTAAGAGTTTTCCTAAAAATAGGAAAAAAAAGAAATAAATAAAATCGTATCGCGATAAAGATTCACCAGAGACACGCCATTGTTCCATATCCGAGGAGAAGCTGAAGAGGGAGCGGAAGTAACGAGTACGTTAATTCCGACGACAAATTAATTGAAGCTCGGCTGGTGTGCTGGCGCGATGAGAAGTAGAGCGACGGAGATAAAAAAAAAAAGAAAATAAAGGAAAAGAAGAGGGAAAAGGAGGAGGAGAGGAGATGGAGAGAAGGCAAAGAGATCGGTCGGTCGCCTTGGCGTAAAGGCGGTAGTAAATTCATTCACAAGAAGCTATTCATTCATCGCTTCATTCACTCCGCGTTTCCTTTCGGGGTTCGTTGTCTTCGGGAATGAGTCACTGTTACACGCGGCCGACCACCCGTGTGGGAGAGAAGCAGAAATGTCACTGACTCGAGGAGAGTTGCGAAATAATGCAAGGGAAACGTTCGATCGGCACTTTAAACCGACGATAAGAACGTAAATATCGTTAAATTTAAGAATTTTTAATCTATTCCTATGTACAGTTAGGATTTGATCGAACGGTTGAGTAGTATTCTTCTACTGTTTCAGAATTAAAATATATGTGTCGAGTTAAGTGGAATGTGTGGGAGAGAAGCGAAGTAGCAATTTATGACATAAGATGTGACATGTATCGTTCGATATATTTCATCATCCTCTTTAATGAGTATTTCTTCCCAATGGAAATAAAACGTGATACAACTTTATATCATTTATATTTTGCCTTTTAATAAAGAGAATTTTTATCGAAAATGTGCGAGATAAATGGTTTTTTAAAGTAATTTTTTTTATTATCATATAACGATGAATAATTGAAGAAATAAACGATATATCATAATGTAAAAATAATACAAGATGTATAAGTGTCATTTATTATCGAAAGAGATATGGATGAATTTTAATATTTACACGAGATTTTCACAAAAATTCGCAATTTTAACGCGTTTTATTGTATTTGAAAGAAATCACTCGTTAAAATTATTAGCGAAGGAACGGAATAGCGGGCACTGGCGAAACGGAGCTGATCTGTGACCGACCTATCTCAACCATGACGAAACAGAAACGAAATCCGATACTGATTCTGACGACTGATGTCGCTTGTTTGCTAGTCTCTGCCATTGACCTGGGTATTTATAGGTTGAAACATCGATTCAACAGCGTAGAACAGTTTGTTACACCGTCTGTCGGCTGAGGCTAACGTTGATATTCATCATCACGATTGGAAAAAAAAAAAAAATACAAATCGATAAATCGTGCGACAACCAAAACATACGTGGACGTTTTACGAGCAACATCCACGTTTTAACGCCATCGTAAACGCGGTTCAACATAAATTGCAATTCTATTCGTCGTAATGTTGTTTAATTTAAACGATCTGGTATAAATATTGCTAAATATTTCAAAGAACTAAATTAATGTGCGAGTATAAAAATATAATTATAGAAGAATTATATAATTCAAAATATTTTTGAAAAAGATTTTGCCTTTGTAAACATTACAAATTCTTCTTGTACACTTTGTTATCAAGATTCCATGTTAAAAATCGTATTTAAATAAAATTAAAAATACCAACGCCTTATCGTTGTTTCTACATAGATAATACTCGCTGAAAATGTTACATAAAAAGGGAAAATGAAAACATAGAAAAATACTTATCAAAAGATAAGACATTGATTTTTAATAATCGTAAATATTATATTCGTTTTTTCCATTTTTAAAATGAATTAAATAAAAACTTTTCAACATTTTCAACGTGTCCTTTTTCAAAAAATATATCATAATACGTAGTTTTGTAATTTGCAATGCCGATATAATATATCAACAAAACTGAAAAAACATTTTATCAAAAGCTTATAAATAACATTAATCGTAGCAACTTGCAACTTATTCTACTTAGTAACACTTCAAACATCAATGTTAAAATAGATTAGTAATAGATAAGGAAAAATTTAAGATAAAAATTCAAGTTAATCATAAAGTAACTAATAAATATTATATAAACTCTTATAATTCACATGAAAACAAATATCTAATCGATACTCTTTGTATAACACTTTATAACATATTATCTGAAGATTTTTTATAATTGTTCCTTTTTAACGTAAAGAAGTATCACGTAAAGAACTCCGTCTTTATATTTATTCATTCCCCCATCAATATCGATCAATGGTCAAACAATCCAAACTTATTCCAAAACCACGCACGTTGCGTCCATTCAGCAAAGAGCAGGAACCAACCGATCATCTTCGAACAAATTTCAACGTTGAATCAAGAAGGAGAAGGTAGCAAGAAGCATACAGCTATTGAAATGGAATCTAAATGAAGTCATTAAAGCCAGGCTCTCCTCGTTGATATCTCGACGAGAATCGCGAGGACTTTCTCTGGTTATCGTACACGGGAGCATTTCGGATTTCCTGCTCCCGGCCATTTCATGCGTTGAACGCGTGCAAAAGCAATCCTCCGCGTCCACGATGCAGCAGCCTCGAAGGGTGCATTTTAATGCGCCCTTTGCTCGGCAGCCCGCTTTAACACCTCATAAATTAATTACCATCGGTATGACCTATTAATGGCCGTTTTGTCGACGACGAGCGCTCGACCACCACCCGAGACGATGCCTTTTTTATCTTACCCTGTTTTGCCCGCGTATATTTAAATTAATGAGAATTTTAAAAAGATCGAGGAAAAAGAATTTAGCGAATTCCTTTATTTTTTCCTCGTAAGATATAAATTAAACTGGAAGGGAAATTAGAAGTTGAAGAATTTTTTTCGAGAGAATCAAGCCAAAATTGAGAAAGATTCAAATCGTAGATTAAAAGAGATGTTCTAATATTAAAATATAAGTAGGTTACTTGGCTTATAAATCGAGCCTAATAAGTACATATTCAATTATCGTACACAAACGCGAACAATGAAACGCAGAAACAAGTTACATTCTCCGGGATATAATATATGTTTATAGCATTACATATTATGTTGTCAGTTTGTATCTCGGCCATTCTTGCGCAATAATAGCGCCATTCTCCCTCCATAGGATCGCGCGAATCTCCTTATATCT